GGGCGTGGCCTTCGGGGACCCGCCCAGGACAGAAAGCAGCAGAGAGGGCGCGTGGTCCGGCTCGGCGGCTGCTGGTCCGGGACCCTCAGTGGGCCGTGCGCGGCTTCCGTAGTCGGTGCTTGTAGGCGGCGGCTGCGTGAGGGGACATTCTGGTGACCCTCGCGCTCTGCCTCGCGGCCCCAGACACCTCGGGCGCGAGGGCCGCCCCTGGGTTGGGATTTTCTCCGTCAAAGGGGCTTTGGGCGAGGCAGGGGCAGGGCTGTGGCGAAGCTGAGGCGGGCGGTGGCCCTCGGCCTCCGGAGGGGCTGGTCACTGCCGAGCCCAGGCGGGGGTGGGGGGGCGGGCTGGGGCGGGACCCGGAGCCGAGGGGCGGTGCTCACGGTCTGTGCAGGTGACCCGAGGCTCCTCCCACTGCCCGCTGGGCTGGCACCGGATGGTGGGCACGTGGCGCTGGACGAAGCCCTCGTGGCACTGGTACCGCACCAGGGAGTTGATCTCGTACCGGTCCCTTTTCTGCCCGAAGGTCCTGGCGTGCGCCACCGCGGGGGGCTCTCCGCAGGCCACTGGGGGCGAACGCTCATCAGCGGGGGCTTGCGTGGGGCCTCGGGGGTGACCGGCCAGGGATGAGGCCGCGGGGTGGACGCGTGACAGCGCGGCAGGGCTGCGTCCTCCACCCTTGCGCTGACCCGGGCGGGCTTGCCCTGACCGTCGCCCCGGGGAGCCGCCCCCCACCCAGCTCCAACCCACTGGGGGTGGGGTGGGGGGAGGGGGCTCTGGCAGCCCGCAGTTCTGGCTCCCCTGCCGACCCCGGCCGGCCGAGGCTCACCTGTGCCCTTTTTGCAGGTGAAGGGCAGGTGGTAATTGCAGGGGACGTCGTTCCACTCGCCCTTCTCGTGCCAGATCATCACCACGCAGTCCTCACCGGTGGCAAAAAAGTTGTCGGGCTGGTTGGGGCGCCAGTTCTCGAATTGCTGCAGGTGGGAGGGGGGGCGGGGACAGTGAGGAGTGGGCAGACCCCGCTGCCCACCGCCTGCACCATCAGGCCCGCCTGGCAGTGCCGCAGAGGCTGCTGCAGCCTGTCAACTGTCCCTGGCACCGGAGGGCCCACAGACCCCCCCTTAACTGGGCCTTCTGGGCGGCGGACCCCACGGAGTCACCGAGCCCGTGCGCAAGCCGATATCCCGGCCTTCCGGCCAGCAGCAGGGCCCCACAGGCTGCCTGGCTCGGGCACCTGCCGGCCAGCCCTGCGCCCCAGGCTTCTCCCCGGGCCTTGCTCAGGATGAGCCCACGGTCTTCCAGGGTGGCGCTGCTCCTGCCGGGCAGCGCCGCCCTGGCACCCCCAGGTCTCGCTGGCCTGCAGCTTGTACTGCCAGCTGGGTCACTGGGGTGCCGTCCGCCTCCCGAGTGGACTCCAGTCCTCTGGGCAAGGGCCCCCAAGCTCCCGCGGCGCCCCTGTGTTTGCCAGCGTTTGTCCACTGCTGGCCTGGCCCCTTGCCCTCCCGCCTCCCACTTAGAGCCCCTCCCCCCGAGGGGCAGAGGCGCAGGGACAGGAGGCCCAGACGCCTGCCCTGCCCAGGGCGCCTCCCCAGGCCACGCCCCCACACCCCGCGCCGCCGGGGCCCCAGAACTCACCAGGGAGTGCCCGTCCGACCAGCGGAAGTCGCCTTCGATGGTCCTGTCGTTCAGGCCGATCCACTGGTAGTCCTGGGCGTTGTCTGGAGAGAGGACAGGTGTGGGCCAGCCGCTGGGCACCCCAAGGGTGTTGGCGTACTGCAGCTCCGTGGGCGGTGGGTGGCGCTCGGGGCAGCGTGCACAAGGGGCTCGCAGGGCCCCAGGCAGGAGCCTTCCAGAGCCTGAGGCCGGCCCCGCCCCCGTCCTCCCGGCCCCGCCCCCGCCCACTCACTGTTGACGAACTCCTGCTCCTCGGGGGTGATGACGCTGCTCAGGTGGGCCTGCTGCTCGCGGCACCGGCTCTCCGCGTCCACCCAGGTCTCGCGGTCGGGGAAGTGGCGGTAGCAGTGGCCTTGGAACTTGGTCCAGCCCTCCTCGCACAGCTCCTGGTCTGCAACACAGTCGGGGGCTTGGAGGGAGCCTGGTCACCGGGAGCGGCCGCCTGACCGTGCCGCTCCGCTGCCACCCGCCTTTGGTCCGGCTCCCCCGGAGAAAGGGAGAGGCCCAGCCGCCGCCCGGTCACCGGAGCCTGGGGCGTGTCCCCACGCCGGCGGTGCCCCGCCCCGGAGCGCTCTCCTCCGGCGCCAGGCGGAGAGAGGCGGGCAGGGGGCTGAGGTTTAAGGCCAGACGTGCTCCCGGGGCCCCTGGGGCGGCGTGAGGGCAGCGGG